GCCCAGGATGTGTGCCCTTCCCTAACCCTCACACCCTCCAAGGCCTGGCACAGTTGGTTTTATCTTTTCACTCTTCCTGGAACCCACTTACTGCAATCAGTTCCTTCGTCTCTTAGTTGAGATCACCCAGTATCTGTTTCCTGCTTTGTTATAACCATTCCAATTGGTTTTCCTGTTTTCTAGCTATTTATACTGTGTGCTGGCTAACAAAGAGTGAATAAATGGAGTAGGTGGCATCTTTGCTGGCTTCCACAAAAACATAGCTTGGTAGGAATGAGGTTCAATTTGGGAAGCCACTGCAGAATACAAAAGCATAAATTGACAATTCACTCATGATTTAAAGCTCAATCTATGCAGAGATGGAGTGAAACAATTGCCAACAAACTGGCATGCAGGTGCTGTTGTGGGAACAGTGACCATCAGAGCATTTCAGAGAAGGGAGAAAACAAAATGACAATTAGGATAGAAAACTACACAAAAATTATGGACAATTGAGGTTTGCTGTAACAAAAACTAACCACACATGTATTAGTCAGGGCTCTGCTCTAAGTAAATTACAGACAAAGAAAAGAATCCTAAAATAGTCCCTCTGCTCAAGCATCAGATTAAAGAATTCTGACGTCCAATACATTACGAAAGTTATGAGTGAGAATTTGACCTTGACTGTTCATACCACATCTGACTAAATTCAGGCTCCCTCTCACGTAGCTGATTACTGCACACCTTTCTTCTCAAACTGCCCTTAACTTTCCCTCCGCAGCCCTCTCCCAGCTGGTGACCATGGTCCTCATCTCATCGGGACAATGGGGCAAGCAGAAGAGGACCCCAAAGCTCCCAGCACCCCCACCCCAGCCCCGCATCTCTTCCCACAGACCTGCCAGCCTTCCAGGCCTGCAGAAGAACCACTTCTGTGCTCTTTGCCAAGGCCAAGCCCCTGCTTGTGCCCCAGGATGTCTTTCCAGCAACTGTCTCCATCTTTTCTGGCCTTTGGGTATAACTCCATGCCCTTCATGAATTATGCTTGGCTACCTCGCGGTCACTTGCTGGCCTATTTCCAGTACTGGCAAGGATGCTGCGGAGTCCCCCAACAAGTGTTATAAGACAAAATGGTTTGCTGTGAGAATCAATAGTGCAAGCCCCCCTGGACTGACTGTTGGCTCACACCCGCTTCAGCCTGAGATTCCATCTCACTGGACTGCATTCCCAGCCTGGCATCCCTGGTTCTCCTGCCCAGCTTTCTTTCCTCTGCAGCACAAAGTCCCACTTGAAGCACTAGATACCTAGTTTACTACACTTTTGCTTTGTCTGTATCATGGTATATAAGCTCCAATAGGGCAAGGACTTTGTATAGTTTTTCCATTTCATTCATTGCTTTCTTCTAGCTCGCAACAAAGTTTACTGAATTAAGGAGGTTCCAGTCCTGCCATTTGATGAATCTGGAAAATAATTTATCCTCTCCAAATCCCACTCTTACCATTTTTAAGATACAGATGCTGACAGTACTTCCTTTATGGTATTGTGATGAGGATAATATGACACAAAGGATTAAATATTTTAGTACATGTTCTAGTGTAGTGTTCAGCAGAGTGCCTGCTCTATAATTAGAACATTATTAGGTTTACATCTACATCCAAGTTTATCTTAAGAAAGTCTGTCTAACCACAAATTAATACTGGTTTGAGAATTTAGCCAGTTGGCAACAAAAAGAAAAATAGATGCCTGTGTCTTTGCTTTCTTTGTATTCGTAAATATTCCATTTAAAACCTAGCTGCAACTTTAAAAATACTGAACATACAATTGGTAGTGTTAATGTCTAGATCTAGATTCCATAAGTGTAAAAAACGTTTAGTAAGAAAATATTGGCTTCTAATATGGACAAACCATGTGGATAAATCAAACTCGGTCTAATAGGTGTCTGACAACTAGATCACACTTCTTCCTTCTGTGCCCTGTTTCTTCTGCTCTTTTCCTTCTGTGGACACAAATCCAGCTACTGCTAGGATCCTCGGCCCATAGGTCCCGGGCTCTCGGGTTGGAGTTTCTATTACCATAAAGGGAATAGAAAAGGAAATATGTATCTCGATGGACATTTACTTTGCCACAGTGTTTAAAGGGAAAGAGAGAAGGGAGGGTCCCTTTGCCATTGTAGTTGGGATTGTAAAAAATCCTTAAAAATTTCAAGATGAAGCTGAGTGTATTTTCCTATCACAACTGTGTAATATATAGTGGTTCAGTTCTATGCTTCCATTAATAAAGCACAAAACTTCAGCTACTGTCTCTGGGATGGCCTGGGAACCTAACCATTCAATGTGACACGGTTTCAGTGAAAAAGTGTGTCCAAAATTCCCAGTGATGAGTTCACAGATCGATCCAAGACTACAACCCATTGGAAGGCAGAAGACGCCTTCTCTGCAGGTCTGACAGTGTCACAAAGGCATCACCGATGTGGTGAGTAGTGACATAAAGCTTCAGTTCCGTGTTTGGCAGCGAGGCTACTTCATTCCTGTGCAGATGGGACACCTGATTGCAATTCTAATAGCAGGAAACGCCGCAGCCCACTCCAGAGAATTATGAGCACCAAAGAGCCTGGTTATAATCATTCATTCTCTTCTTTCCACTTTCACTGTCAAACTCCAATAGCCCTTCCTTTTACTTAGTCTTGTTCATCTTCTTAGGAGTCTATTTTTAACATGTTATATTTTTTCTAAATGCAAAATTTTGCCAACAGAAACCAGAAAAGTCACCGCTCATTTCTCCTGGCTGACACACCTTGTGTGCAAATGGCAGTTTCTCCCTGAAGAGGAAACTTTTCCATCCAAAAAGCCTTTCAGCTTCCAACAATCAGAGCCAAACTGTGAAAATCACCAGCTTTACTTACCATCGCAGAGAGACTTTGGCAGTCGGGCTACCGTTTAGTCAGCAGTGAAATCTGGGCTGATATTAGCTAACCATCCCACATTTTCAGTTTGTTTCCTCGTAGTCATTATCCAAAATATACAAGCAAGAGCGGCTCACCTCACTGGAATGGCTTACGTTACCAATTATGGTTAACCGTAAAGCACATAACCAAAAAGACAGCTCAGATTTACTGTCGGGAAGAAATCTGCGCCTGAAGTAGTCCACATGTTGGGCAGAAAACTGTGAAGCTCCCTGGCTCCCAGTGGAGCTTGTCTCTCCCAGACACCTCCAGCTTTCTTTCCTCCCACACTTTTTCTAGGACAATAGGCTATTGCTTTCTAGTCATTACAGCTTCTCCATCAAGCTCTTCTCTCTCATCATCTCTAGTTCTTTGTCCTCAGGTATAAAACCCGATACGGAGCTTCCTTGTAATAGGTGGAATCTTGAGTGGTCGCTGGGCAGAAGAACCAAGAGAAGCGGAATGGTCGGTTATCTTAGTTTGCTCCTGGGGAGACTACCTACCCTCTCCACATCTTCCTTTCAAGTCTGATAAGAATCTACCTCTGGAGATCTGTCATGAAAGGATATTACCAGAATAGGCTGATATGCATCAAGCACCTCAAGTACTTTCAGACAAGTGTTTAGGGATCCTTGAATATATTATTTTTAAAAAGTGTATCTTTAGTGGCTGCCTCCCACATTTAGTTATGAAAGAGGGTTATTTTGAAAGATATTGAATGATAGGTTGCTATTACAGTGAAGTTTGACTATCCAATGTTTATACAGAAATATGCACAAAGAGAAGATAATGTCTAATACATGTATTTCCAATGCCCTATGACAGTGAAAGTAATCTGGAACAAGGGTACAAATTAACGATTCTCTGGACAATCACAAACTGAACAAATTAATCATTTTCTTTTGAAATAGCTGCTTCAGCACTTCGAGCAGTGTGAACTCTTTGGTAATTTCCAGGAAATTCTTTCTGTTTCAGAGAAAATTTGTTGCTTTACCTGTCACAGAGCCAAAGATTTACTGTAACCTAGAGAAAATAATATATGGGGGTGGGGGAAGAGGCAATGATCCTCAACGCAGTCCAGTATCACTCCTGAGCAAAGTTTGGAAAACCTTAGTTTTAGGTTGAAGACAAATTTCAATGCAATGTGTTAAGTGCCATTGTGTTTTTATTGTTATCTTTAAAAGTTTTATGAAATTGACTAGAAACTATATCTGGAGCCCACAGGATCTAAAGAACACAAAGGCTACTGTGAGAAGGTCTCAGCTCCGCTGTTTACTAAGTCGGAGTCCCCACCTGGCGGACAGGCCACGCAGTTATTACATCATTTAAAGCAGGTGAGCCATTGTACCACACCAGCTACCAGAATTTTATGATTCATAGATTTCAACAAGCCAAGAAAATAAAGCTGTATCATTTCCAAACATCTACCCATTCTCCTTACTTCGCACGCGAAATGTCCACGTGGGCGTGTTTTGTTACTCAATGCGCATGCTAAGTTTTTATAGAGCTGTGATGTGGGCACCAGGCGACTTGCCCTCACTCCTTTCTCTAAAGCTTTTTTTTTTTTTTTAAAGAAAAATCAGAAAAAAAAAAAAAAAAAAGATTAGTTCAAACCCTGTTATCTAGCTCTTGTCTGCTTTTATAGGTTTACTGTTCAAATACTGACCATGTGACTGCCTAATTTATAAAATCTGACAACCACTCTAAGGCCTAGTAGCACATGTACTTCCAACCGTCTCTTATCAATCAGTATGAATAGCCTAAGGGAAAAGGTGAAATGCGCTCAAAACTTTTATTAAATCAAAGTCCACCGGTGTTGGGGGCACCTTCAGCAAAGGATGTGAATGGTTAGTGTGAAAGATGGCATCTTTGGGCTGTGCGCTGGGAAGCAACCCAACCTCTCGGGACAAAGAGCAGGCCAGCTTTCCCTTGGGTAGTTAGGGACAGTTTGCCAGAAGGCTCAATGACTGGAATCCCGACTGTCCTTACAGGCTGACCCCGCAGTCTCCCAAGGCCTAGCCTAGGGCCGGCGGCCGGGGCGGGGCTGGAGCAGCGGGGAGGGGCTTTTCCGCTGTGTCCCTAAGACCGCACCAGTCGCCCAGGGCAGTCTGTCCGTGCCTTTCCCCGCTAGTCCTGCGACGGCAGACCGAGGTGGACACGCGCCAGCTCGGCCTCCTGCAGCCTCCCCGGGTCTGATGAACTCACACCCGTCCCGTGATCGTCTGCGGACCAGGTACGGGCTCGGCCTGTCCAGGCTTGCTGCTGGTGTGAGACGCAGTTCAGCGCAGGCTGGAGGGATAACTGCGTCCCAGGAGACCCAACCCGGCCCCACCGCCCTCTGCAGTCCCCAGCCCCCAAGGGCGCCCCCTGCAGTCCCCAGCCCCCAAGGGCGCCCCCTGCAGTCCCCAGCCCCCAAGGGCGCCCCCTGCAGTCCCCAGCGCCGGAGCCAAAGTCCCAAGCCCCGGGCAGGCTCCAGGATGTCCAACTCCCTTCTGGACGGTTCACCTTTCAGGCCCAGGCCACCTCAGGGTTAAACAAGGCAAAGGACGGGAAGCCCCCCGCTGAGAGCACGCGTCACGCGGGGGAGGACCTGGCCGGCGTTCGCTGGATCAGGCTCGGGCGGGCTCGGCGCTCCGCTAACAAAGGGGAGTTCCGGGGCCGCAGCGCCGGAGCCGGGGCCACACGGCAGCCCGCCCAGAAGACGCACCAACTTCGCGCGGGGAACTGCGCCCCCACGGTCGGGGCAAACTTTCCCGGCAGGGCGCCGAGATTGGGAGGGGCGCGGGGCCGGCTGAGCCTGCTCGGAGGACCCCTCCCCCCGCCAGCTGTTGCAGGATGAGGTCATCGCCCCCCACCCCTGGCTGTCCCCTTTCTCTGCCCTCTCCAAGAGCGGCCACGGTGAAGTGTGGGCTGGGTCGCAGAAGCCACAGTAGTGGGAGGAATCGTGCGTGGCGGCAAAGCATCCTCTCCAAACCCCGACGCTGTTAAAACGGTGCAAAAAGTTCCTTGTGAGGCGCAGCTTTCCGAGGTCCGTGCCCGCACCGGGCGGGCGGGGGCTCAGTCAAGGGTCGGCGGGGGCCTGAGCCGCTGCTCGGTGCCCACTGGCCCGTGCCCCGCCCGCTCCCACCGCGCCCCCTGCCAGTGACCCCGTGGACTCCAAAGCTCCCGCCCGCCGCGGCGCCCCGGTCCCCCAGTCTACCTTGAATCTCGGGGCCGCGCCCCTGCCAGCTGCTCGCGATCCGAGGTCCGGCGCGAGCCGTGCGCGCTGCAAGCTCCGGGCTGCGCGGCCGCCCAGGTACCGCGCTTTATAGCGAGCGAGCTGCGAGCCGCGGGTGACTCAGGGAGACTCCGACGCCACGCCGCGGCCCGCGACCTTCAAAATAAGAGTCTGCAGGGCCCGGCAAACGGAGGAGGGAGGCGTGGCTGGGGCCTGGGAAGCAGCCCCCAGGTTAAGGGTACCCCGCCCCTTCTCCTAACCCGGTCCCGCCCTTTGCATCCTTGGGTCGCTCGCCCCTTCTTTGTGACAGGTTATAAATCGGGCTTTCCCAGAGCTTTGGGGAAGAATGGGTAACAGGGAAGAATTATGAACTTTTCCAAACCGATAGAGATGTTGCCTGCATGTCAAGGATAGTGCTATCTTTTATAGACTAAAAAGAGGTGTGCGTAATCGCAGCATTCAGGAGGCTGAAGCAGGAGGATCACTGAGAGTTTGAGGCCAGCTCAGGCGATAGAGTGAACTGTATCATGCAAACCTGTCTCAAAGATAAATACAATAAAATATAAAATAAAATAAAAAAGAGGTGTGCGTGCGCTATAAATGCGACCCTGGGGCGTAGTAGGAGAAAGGAATGAAAGCTGTGGGTAGAATAAAAGCGTGGAGCTGGGGGGTTGGGCGGGGCCAACCCCTGCCTGCTCGCAAATCTGCGAAAAATGATTGTAGAGAACAAGTCAGGTCAAGCCTGGGGTGGTGACCCAGGTCTGTACTCCCAGCACTCTGGAAGGCTGAGGCAGGAGGATTGAGTCCAGCCAACACAACTCAGCAATTTAATTAAGTGAGATCCCGCCTCAAAATAAAAAATGAAAAAGATCAGTGACAAGGCTCTTGGGTCCATCTTAAGTACCCTTTTGCCTTCAAAAGAAAAGAAAAAAAAAAAAAACAGGGAAAAAAAGGAGACCTTGGGCTACGCGGTGCCTTTCACTACCATTTAGCAGCATTTTAGGAAGTAGTCCCTCCGAGGTCATCCTTGTCTGTCAGAAACTACTCAAGGCCCCAGTCACTTCCAGACTTGTACGCGGGAGTGTCCCTAGAAATGTTTAAGACAAAATGAGCTCGTAAATTCCAGAGTTAATTTCTTATGTACAAAGTGTCACAGAGCATGCTCTCGCTCTAAAGCCAGATCATCAACTTTTCCTTTCACCCGCTCAGCCCGGGATGCCCTGGCTCTCAGTAATCCTCTGGAAGATGGCTTAGCCCACTGCCTTTCCTTGGAGGAGGGGGTGGTAACATATTTTTTGAAGTTTTTTTTTTTTATTACTACATGTTTGTAGTATATAATGACTGCATTCCTTGTGGGGAGTTGGTGCACCGTAACACATCTTAACTGCTTGTTTTAAAACAGCCCACCCCATTTCCATCTGAGAAAGGTCTATTTCCCTATTTGCCATTGTTTAACTTTTGATTCGTTTTCTTTTTTTATTAAATTAAGACTTTGAGTTTGTCATAGAAGAAAAACCACGCTTGTTTGACAGGCATTGCTGGAGTGTGTCAGAGACGTCACTACCAGTATCACAACAAGGACCCAACGTGAAGAAAGGGGCATCGCCCGGCTTAGCACAGTACTGGCAGCCTGCGAGCTTTTCACCCACTGCCTTTCTTATAAGGAACTCGGACAGCGGCGACCTCAGTACCACTGAGCAGGGGTCGGGGTGGAGGACGGCACTCTCTGTACTCTAGACTGTGACTGCCTCGCCCTCCTATGTTTGTGAACAGCTTCCTCCGGGCTCAGTCTGTTCAGAGCCTAAGTGATAATTAATGCTCAGTAAAAGGTGACGGTAACTCTCCCCCATCCCCGCCCCAACTGCGTGTCTGGTTTATTTCACTTAACATCATGGTATCAAAGTGATTCCATTTTCCTACAAATGACTCAAGTTTATCCTTCTTTATGGCTGAATAGTACTCCATCGTGTGTAAGTACCACAATTTTAAAAATCATTTATCTGTTGATACAGACTGCTTCTGAGATTTATCTGTTATGAATTGTATTTTCATCAGGTCTTTTATTTTGAAAATCTTTTTTTTTTTGGTATTTTAAATTCTATATTTTGTCCTGTTTTAAGGAACAGCTGAAAAATTTTTTTCTCCCGTCCTGTAAGTTATCTTTTCACTCTGTTGGTTACTTCTTCTGCTGTCTATCAGTTATTTCTGCCTTGTCTCTTCTGCCACAGTGTGTGTTCCTTAACTACTTGGGTCAAATCTGTCATACATAATAAGCTGTCAGTGGACTGACTGAATGAAAATACCTAATATTTGTTGACCTAAGTATTATAACAGGCCATTTCTGTAAAGTGGTCAACGGTAAAGGCCAATAAACGTCAATTAGATTTGAATACCATCCAGAACACTAGTTTAAATGGCCTAGTATCTTTATCCTTATCTTTATTGATATTAAGAGTATTTCTTAAAAAAAAAAAGAGTATTTCTATATTCTCAGTCCTAGGAAAAGTTTATATGTTTATTCTCTCTCACCCTCCACAAAGTCAGAAATATTAGTATTGATTTTAGGTGAAAAATTATGTCTGTAAAATAGTCAAGCAATAAGCCAAAAGTCAATGTGTTCTTGCAATTGTATTCCTAGAGATAAATATTGTTAATCACCTACAGTATATTTTTCCAGACATTTGTGTGTGTGTGTGTTTAAATACATATTTAAAACACAGATTAGGTCATTGTTTACATATAATTCTCTAACCTAGTTTTCAAAATGTCTTAAATCCTGCAATCACTTTCCCAGGTGTGAGACAGGGTATTACCACCTTCTGTTTCTGAGAGAATAGCCTAAAGTCTCTACTGGCCTGGGGGCAAATTTTTTCAAAAAGTGAAAACTCTGACATTCCACTATTTAATTTCGCTCTTCTTTGAATCTGTAGCTTGCTTATTCCCATGTCAAGTGGCCACGAGGGCAGCAGTAATGACATTGCTTGGTCTGTCGCAGTGTGTTCTCATCAATGGTGGTGTGACTCAAGTCAGCTCTAAAATGAGAGTCAGGAATGATGGTCTGAATCATTAACTGTGCAGCTCTGAAGCTTTCTTATTTCTATAGTAATGAGATTGATTCAGCTGATGAATTTTTAAATCATGGTTCTTAAATTTGTGATTTGATGATAGAAGCACAGAAACAAAAAAAAGCATCTCTGACTAATAGCATATCCAGTGTTTACTAGACATGGAAGGGGAGTAGACAGGAGGGCTGATTAATTCAGAAATCATCCCTTCCCTCAAGAGGCAGCAGGAGGACCACCGCCTCTGCCTCTCTGGGCTCTAGGTGCTAGCTAGGAAGCATTGATACAGAACAGCTTTCATGTTTCTGTGCTGACATCCAACAGGATTCCAGGCACTGATGGGAAACAACTTCAAGGTTTTTATGCAGGAACTGTGGGAGGTATGGATACATTTTAGCTATCACCTTGGACAAGTCCCAGAATTGCTAACACCATTGGGACAGTAGACCCAACGGTGAGAATTCTGGCAAGTTTGAAAAAGAGCATACTATCCCTCTCTGCAAAGTGCAGATTCTGACCCACCACCATTGCTTTACATGTTTTTCTTTATTCTCTCTTCACTAAAACTTAAGCCTTCTGGTGGTTTTAAGGTAAGATGAAAGGGGGGGAGGGAAGCACACAGTGAAATTTCATTTCCCTGGAGCTGCCTTTGAGGGATTCCCTCTGGATTCCATGGAAATGTTTGACCAAGTGTCCTCTCTAGGGCTTCCATCTCATGTTGGCTCAGAGATTTATGGCTTCAAATCCATTTAATTTGGGATAAGGCATTTAGCTCAATTTTCTAGTTGCTTGGGGGAGAAGTGTGGAATAGGTAAAGATGAGCACTTCCACATTTTCACAAAAGCAACTGTGAACTATAGATGATTAAAAACTGAAAGCACAACAAATGAATACTTAAAAAAGATCTTCAGTCAACAAAGAAGATCTTGGCAGTGAAGGCTCATTGAATATCACATGCATCTATGTAACCACATACACATGTATATATGTACATCTATCATATGTACTTGTATGTGTAAAACTTATGGCAGGTATTATAACATCTATCTTATTACTCGGAATTGGTAATAATACATTTTGTAAAATGGATATTATTAATAAATCAAATAAATGTCTTCTGAGTAACATCCATTATAAAAACTGTTAGCAGAAATCTACACAGCCCATTTATGATTTTCTCATTTAAAAATGAAAACCAAAATCTACATTTTCCTTCTTTCTATTTACATGAAACAGCAAAAAACTGTTACAATGTTTTCGTACATTTTTTTAAAAAACAATATTTTAATGGAAATTATCAAAACTTCAGATTTTCTTGGATTTTTGGCCTCTGGGGTAGCACACTTTTTATAATAAGACTTTTCTATACATTTCTTCACTGTGATAAAAGGTTTGTAAAACAGATATTCTGATAGCAATATAGCATCAAGGTCTATTTTCATTCACTTCTAGTGTTTTGATATTATTTTTAATTCTTGTTGGTTTGGCTCTTGCTGTATTTTCAAAAATTACAAGAACCCATTGGTTCTTTTGTGGATACTACCTTTGCAAGGGCTGCCAGTCATCAGCATAGAAGAACAACACTAAACAAGTAGAATCTTTTGATTTTGGTTCCAACTAATATTATTTTAAGAAAATGTTTCTGGGAACAGAATGCTCAGGATCAGCTTTTATCCTACTCATTTAAAAAACAAACAAACAAGCATTTACCTCAAAAAAGTCTTGGACCATTTTGAATTTGGATTTTGTGACATTTTATATAAAAACATTTATAAATCAACATTTTATTTGAATTACTTTTGTTTCCTTGTTAGTAGCTACACATTATTTTAATAAAAAGAAAAAAATTGAAAGGTGGGTTTTCTAACGAGACTAAACCCTGTGCATTATTTGATCATGAATACACACTATGGTGGGGAGGGAAAGGGTGAGCCACCAAGGACAATTCATACTTTCAACATAAAAACAAATTGATGTACTCCCTTGGCCAAGATAACTTTCTGGCTCTTTGGTTCGTACATAACTTTTTATGAAGAATAAAGAGAAAAGATAAGAGGGAAAATGGGGCTTTTCGTAACTGTGCAGCTGTGACTGGAACCCGGTGGCCATAAAATATTGTGTCAGAGGGAGCAGGACAAGCAGAAGGTCTGCAGTCCTGGTAAACAGAAGGACAGGCTAAGTTAGTGAGAGCAGAATAAACTTGAACTCCTAAAGAACAACTCCAGGGAGCTCAAGAAGTCAGAGACAGGAGGGGACCAAATCTAGGGATGAGGGTCCTAGACAGTGGACAGTGGGGTCAGCCAAGGCTGTTTCCATGACCAGGAACCTTATAGAGATTTGTTTGCTCATTAGTAGAGTGAGAGTAAAGGACTGACCTGGACTCTGCTGAAAACATAGAGCTGCGGCCAGAACAGAGCCTGGCGTAATGTGCATGTGTTACACACTGGGTGGGGGTTGGTTTTCTTTCCCTTTTTAATCTCAGGAAATTTTTTGAGTGTTTAAGAAATAACAATCTGAA